TCTTATGGCTCCATTAACTTGCAGTTTTGAGGACAGGTTCCTTCTTGGAATTGACGTGTCCATAGAATTATTTTAGTATCATTCACCTGAAGGCCACTGTGGCTATGTCAAGAGCTATAGTAGTTTGGGTTTTGGCAGAACTAATGCTTCAATTGTTCTTTAAGATAACTGTAAGTGGATTTACCAGTTTTGCCTGTGATATGGCCATGTGTTGAATGTGGGACATCCTGGGCCCAGATGCTGTTTTATCATATCAAAGAATGTTTGTTTCCCTGCTTGCAGTGACTAGAAGACATGGATCCATTTTGTCTAAAAATTGTACCATTTCTCTCATCTTTTGGTTAACAGTTATTGAATGATGACTATAACACACATGCACCTGTGCTAGGCATTTTATACATTCTTATTTAGTCCTCATAATGGCATTATGACCTAGGTAAGTGCTATTACTATCCCCATTTGCAAATGGGTGAATTTTCCTGTATACCTAAGAAGTGCCAGAATCAAGATTCTAATTTAGATTAGAATTTGAGTCTAGGCCAGAGTTTTTTTTTTTTTTTTTTTAATTTTATTTTTTTAGTTGTAGGTGGATACACAATATCTTTATTTCATTTCTATGTGGTGCTGAGGATAGAACCCAGTGCCTCACACATCCTAGGCGAGCATTCTACCACTGAGCCACCACCCAGTCCTAGGCCAGAGTTCTTGATGACTCCTTTCTGCTAATGGTAACTCACCAATGGCTGTGATATAATTTTAAGAAAGAAGGGGAAGGCTGACTACTCCTGTTTGGTTTTTGTGTATATCTTACCTTCCTACACTACCCTCCCCCACTTTGTTTGTAAAAAAACTCATTTGATCCTCTTAACAACCTTTCTTGTGAAACAGGTGGAGGCTGGGGCCCAGAGGAGTGATTTGCTGCTTGTCTCTCAGCTATGAAGCTGTGGAACTGAGTCAGCCCAGGTCTTGAGATGGGGGTCTTGCCACTTTCATTGCCATCCTGTTAGCAGGCCTTTCTCTACTAAGTGTGGAAAATACAGGAAGTTGTCCAAGGCAGGAATCCTTGGCAGTATGTTTTTGGGAGAACAGTTTCCACACCTTGGCATTTCTCCTCTATGACAGGCTTACAGGTTGTTATAAATAGAGTTGATTTAAGTTTTTTTCTCAGAACTTTGTTGCTAGAAATTAAATGAATTTTGGACTGGGCTTGTAACCAGTTTCTTACATACTTAACAAAAACAACAAATGTTTAAAATTCTGTGTAGAGGTCCAGATCAACAGATTTTTACTAACTTGTTCCTTGCATTTTAAAAAGAAAATTTTATGTTCTGGTTTTACCAGAATTATCTAATTTTTGACCCATCATCTTTTTCTTCTCCTTCCCTTTCACTGCAGATTGAACCCATGGGCTTTCTACCTCCCAGCTACATCCCTAGCCAGCTATTTATTTATTTATTTATTTATTTAGAGATAGGGTCTTGCTAAGTTGCTGAGGCTGGCCTCAAACTTGTATCGATTCTCCTTTTTAAGCTTCCATTAAGATCAGCCTGGAGTAAACAAAAGAAAGAGCGTTTATGGGGCTGACTCTAGGTAGTTCTGACTCTGGTGAGGGCTCAAACTCTTGCTAATCAGAAGCATCCATTCCTTTTAAAACTTTGGGCCACATAATTGCAAATTCACGTGTACATGGGCTATATACTTCCTTTTTTGATAATGGCAGCAAAATGTGTTGTGTATTAGATCTTCAGAATCAAATATTTTCAAATAATAATAAAAAGATTCCCAAAACATTTTTGCTCAATTAGGGATACTGGTACATCGTCTTCTGTGTTTTGGCCAGGTATGACTTGGAATAGATTTGATTGCATTTTAAGAACTGTGTGGTATAGAAACTTTTCAGTCTAGTTTTATATTATTGACACTTTTCTATAAGTAAATATATTTAGATTCAGCTGATCCAAATATTCCTCAGAATTTGGTTACTTAAAAAATTCTGAATTGTTTTGGGTTAGAAACTCTTCTGTGGCCAAGGTTTAATTTAATTTAGTTCATTCTTCATGAACTAAAGAGCCTATACAACCTGACGTGTTTATTCTGCAAGTTATCTGGAAACTGAATGTGAAATTCATACTTATCAAAATTAATGATATTAGCTCTATTTCTGCATTTTTTTTCTTTCATATTTCCGAATAGTTCAGCAGTGAGATCAGTGTTACAATTATCTTGGCCCCCAGTAATTCCTCCAGTGCTCTCGTACAGGTGTGCTAAGGTCTTGGTTTTTGAATAAAAGTGGTTTAGGTCCGTAAGGGACCTTGGAGAAAAGCCATTTGAGCTTTTACTTAGCAGAGAGCAGAGAGTTCCAAGTGGGTTGCTTGCTCAAGTCACAGGGGTAGTGAGGTTGAACCTGGTGAGTGTGATTCCTCTCTGGAGTTCTTTCTCACATGGCGATCTGCTTTCCTGGTTGTTCCTTCACCCAAGCAAAGGCATCACTGTTTATTTTCATTTTCCAAAGAGAATTAGAATGCTGAAAATGTCCAGATTGTATTTTCTCTCTTGAAGACTCACATTTGGTTTCTGCCATCAGGAATCAGTTATACCCTTTGTTAGTGATTAAACACACATGAGTTTGCTTTTTGTAAAAGAATATGTTGACATGTTACTGAATAGACCATTTTGTGGCTACAATGTTAGGGTGAATTAGTGAGAGTGCAAAACTCTTGCTGTCCCATTTTACAAAACTGATAGAAAGCTGGCGAGTTATTAACTTGTGAAACTTTTCTAGTGCTGCTTTATAGCAGCACAAGTGTTGAAAAATTCCCAGGTAGTTTTTGCTTCTCATTATTCCTAGGGTTTGTTTTTGGCATTGGTTGAGGCTATAAACACATAATTTTTTTGGGGGAGAAAGACTGTTATCTTTATGTTATTAAGTTTGCTGTAACAGTCAAGTTTCTAAATTATGCCTATTCTGTAGTGGGCAGAAGATTGAATTTTTAGTTGAAAATACAGAGAGTGGTGAGGCCCTTTTGATGGTCAATTTTATAAAACTCCATATCTTCCAGTAGACATTAATGTCAGTGTGGGAGGTGCCATTATTTTTATTATCATGTAAGAGAAAATACTTCCAGAAGCTTTTAACAAATCACGTTAAATCTTGTAACCATTAAAGGCCATCCCTGTGATCTTTGAAAAATTGAAATGTTTGGGATTCAATTTCCTCATGAAATTGGGGATAACACTCTTTTAACTCATGGGGATGCTTGAAGGAATATATGAGACAATCTTGGTCTTTAATAGGGACCAATTAACAATGAACAGTTAATTTTCTTCCCATTCTAAGTTCATTATTATTCCTTTTTACTTGGTAGTGTAAAGGCTTTATTTTATACACTGTGTCTTTCATGTCTATTACCTTTACTTTTGTATAGAGATTATATTTTGCAAAAAATGAAAAATAAAATGAAAAGAAAAAAAGAAGAGATTATATTGTACAACTTGAGTCTTAATATTCTTTAAAAATAATTGTATATATCTTTGGAGTTCATTTAAAAATGTTACTATAAGAACATTTTGTTTCTTATTTGAGTGATTTCCCTTGTAGAAAGTTGTAAGAGGTAATACTTGTTGGCTTTTCCTGATTTTTTTTTTTAAATTTCCAGTAGCAGGGATTGAACCCAGCTCATGCTAAGCAAGTGCTCTGCCACTGAGCTACACATCTGGTCCTCTTTATTTTGAGACAGAGTCTTGCTAAGTTGGCCAGGCTGGCCTAAAACTTGAGATTGTCCTGCCTCAGCCTTCTGAGTAGCTGAGATTACAGACATGCACCAACATGCCTGGCTTTTTTTTTTTTCATTTTGGGGTCTGGCTTTCAAAGTGATTACTGGCTAATCAATTTTTTTAAACCTTGATTACAATTTTTTTTGGGGGGTACAGGGGATTGAACTCAGGTGCACTCGATCACTGAGCCACATTTTGTATTTTACTTAGAGACAGGGTCTCACTGAGTTGCTTAGTGCCTCACTTTTGGTGAGGCTGGCTTTGAACTGGTGATCCTCCTGCCTTAGCCTCCCAAGCCCCTGGGATCACAGGCATGTGCCACTGCCCCCAGTCCTTGATTACAATTTTTATTAGTCATTTTTTAAGGCTGAAAGCGTTAAGATATGCTTTCTCTGCAAACAATAAATTAGAAGTAAACCTGATTATTAGTATTACTTTTATATTTTTATCAATAAAATCACTTTTGTGTAAGAAAAAACAAAATAAGAAGTCATGCTGAAGACACTGGCATATTAAAAACATTTTATTACTTTCTGGTCACTGATGAACGTGAAGCTCCTTGAAGCCAAGACTGGTATTTTGTAAAGTTCTTTATGGTATGTGACATTTCTCACCTTGCTCTGTGAGTCCATGTTTGGAAAGTCCTTTCTTCAGATTTGCTTAGATTGGCTTATATACTTCTTTGGAGGTTTTTTTTTTTTTTTTAATACTTGGGGATTGACCACAGAGGTGTTTTACCACTAAGCCACATCTCCAGCCCTTTTTGTTTTTTATTTATTATATTTTATTTTATTTTTATGTGGTGTTGGGGATTGATTCCAGGGCCTTGTGTATGCAAGGCAAGCATTCTACCAACGGAGCTATATCCCCAGCCCCTGTTTTTTATTTTGAGACAGAGTCTCACTGAGTTGTTTAGGGCCTCACTAAGTTGCTGAGACTGGCCTCAAACCTGTTATCCTCCTGCCTCAACCTCCTGAGTCACTGGGCTTACACATGTACAGCACCATGCTTAAATTTTGATGCCTTTGGTTTCATTTGTGTAAAGGGGATGATTCTGTAGTTACAATTTCCCTTCTATAATTATGGTGTACTGCTAATAATTACATATAGTGGCTGATAAAACATTGTAGCTAGAAGAAAACTGAAAGAAGTACTCTGAAAGAAATATTTCAAAACCCATTTAAGCATCTAATTTATTTCATTTTCTTTCTTTCTTTTTTCAATAGCATGCTCCACACTATTCAGAACGGTGCTTAATAGTGTCCCGTTGTCTCAGTTCAGTGGGATATGATCCTAATGAAAAAGTAAGTATTTAAAAAATAATGTTAACAGCTAAGTTTTTCTATGTTCAGTGGGGCAGATTAAACTTTAATAATATTGTACAATTATTTATTGCTTTATCATCATAAGTTTTACAGATTCTCAATCTGTGTTCTTCTTTTCATTGTGGGCCACAGCCTGAGTCCTTTAATTTTGTCTTTGAATCTATACCAAAACTTGAATACATTGGTAATATATTTCCTTTGTTTTTAGGAGAATAAGTAGATATCATTCTTTGTTAAAGACTGGGCACTTGCAAGATTTTGTTCAAATTATTGAAGTTTTTGTTTCAATTATTAATATTTATGACTCATTTGGATTGAGGGCAATTAGGCATATTGAAAATTTTGGGACAGGGTAATTCCAACTAAAATCTTGGTATATGACAATGTTTGAGCCTTGTAATAGGAGAGAGAAAGAGATTAGAAGTGGTGATGGGAAATAAAACATGTTTTAGTCGTGATGTAGTCTTCAAAGAGGGCAGAAAATTTTGGTCAAGAAGAGATTTTTCAAGGTAAATGTCATTGAAGTGTAACTGCTGTGAATGATTAATTAAGAGTACCATATTACTGAATTGCACAGAACTACTTTGCAGATTCTTTTGAATCTGAAGATTTGAAAGAAGAGGAGTCTACATTTTTGCCATTCAATAGAAATATAATGCAGGGGTGGGGTGGGGTGTGGTGTGTAGCTCAGTGGTAGAGTGTTTGCCTTGGGTTGTATGCACAAGGTCCCGGGTTCAATCCCCAATGCCACAAAACTGACAAAAAAGAAATAGAATTTGAGGTACAATGGCAGGAAAAATATAAATTCAAATTTTCTATTTGCTATATTATGAAAATAAATAGGTAAAATTAATTTTAATATATTTATTTAACACCTAAAATGTTATCTCCACATATAACCAATATAAAAAGAATTAATGAACTGGGTATGCACGCCTGTGATCCCAGCAACTTGCTCCCAGGCTGAGGCAGGAGGATGGCAAGTTTGAGGCCAGACTTGGCAACTTAGCAAGACCCTGTCTCAAAAAATAAAAAGGGCTGGAGATGTAGCTCAGTGTTAAAGAATCCCTAGATTCAATCCCAATTAACGCTCCCCCCCCCAATAAACTAAAAAAACACTTTAGATTTTGTTTTTGAATGAAATCTTCTAAATCTAGTGAATCTTTTTGTACTTTTCTGGAACATCTCAGTTTGGCAACATTTAAAGATCTCTAGTTCATGTGGACAGTACAGGTTTTCATAGATTAGCTATGAGTGAAATTTTGCTGTTATGAAATCTATAGTTTGATTTAAAAACTTTACCACAGACAATTTGCTTTGGAGTTCATGTGTACATATGTTTGTGCACACAGTGGACCACCTCCTCCAGCCACTCCCTGTCTGCCTGTAGTTTTCCCATTTGTAAAATGGGGATATTATCAAAACTGACTTCATAGACTTTTTTTTTTTAATCTTTTAGATTAATGAATTACTTTTTTTCATACAATATAAAGAGAATTATAACCATTATCTGATAAGTGAAATAATTCACAGAAGGGTTTGCCACAGTGGCTGCTTTATAGAAAGCACACGGCCTAAATGTTGCTGCTTAATATTACCCTTAACAATTCAGTTTTGCACATTTGAATTCTGAGGCTCCAAACCCCTTGATAGGAAGCACTGGTGCATTCTCAAGCCTCTCTTTCCCAGAGCTGATGGGCTTGCCCATTGCGCTGTGGCCTTTCTCAGAAGTATCCAGCAAGTGACTCGGGGTCTGGAGTTCTGCTGTCACTCCTTCCCCAAGTACCCAATGGAGCAGGCCAGCTCAGTCCTTCTCCAGGTTTCTGGATGAAGTGCCAGCTGTGCATTTAGACCCCAGCAATGAGGATCTAAGTACAGGGAAGGAAGAAAAAGAAGTGGGGGTGGGTACAGAGACACTGCATGAAAAAGATCTCAAGAAATCTCAGGAGACTTTGCACCACAGACTGCATCATTTGTACAGTGAAGAGCAGATGCTGTGGGTTCCCCTGCATCTCTTCCTATACCCAGAAGCCCCTCTGTCTTTAGGAATTTAAACTTCTGGTTTATATTTGTGGTTTTCATTTTCTTTTTCCTCAGAATGTCTTTGGGGTGTCTTCATGTAACTCCACATGTAGAATGAAGTCCTGGCTTTTAAGTGGAATTTTTGTCCATCATCTGCCTTTTTGTCCCCCAGGTTTATCTGGACAGTTCCCCATACATGTTGTGTTTTGAGCTGTAGAAAAATGCCTTGTAGTTATTTGTTGTCGTCCTCTTCCTTCGGTGTCACTTTCTTCACACATCCTGCCCATGCTCTCCCTTCTCTGTACCCAGCATCCTGGGCACAGCTTCAGTGTAGCACTTAACATGATTTGTTGTGATTGTGTCATATTGTCCACTGAAGTCATCAAGCATAGTTGATATTTACTTGTAACTGACGCGGAGGGGGAGTTTTAAAGTTGATTTAACTTGATCGGCATGTATGTCCTTGGATATGCGTGGTCTATCTGGAAGAATATACAGGAGACTAGTAAGAGCAGGAAACTGGAGTGCTTTTAAAATTCTGAACCATATGTTTCTTGATTTATTTAAAAGAAAATTTTTATGTAGAGAAGATTAATATGTGTTTGAGTTTGTACACTAATTGGTAATATATTAATAGCTTTGAGTAGAGACGATGTGTCAGGTGCAAACACATATTTTTGTTACTGGGAATTGAACTCAGCGGCACTTTGCTACTTACCCAGTTCTTTTTATTTTTTATTTTGAGACAGGGTCTTGCTAAGTTACTTGCTAAGTCGCACAGGCTGGCCTTGAACTGTGATCTTTCTGTTTCAGCCTCCTGAGTTGCTAGGATTACAAATGTGTACCTCCATGCCCAGCCAAATATTTGCTTTGATACAATTTTTCCTGATTAGTCAGGGGCATACTCCTAGATTCCTAACAGTCTGGCATGTGGTTCCGTGCAGTAGAATAACAATACCTGTAGCTAATACTTGTTGAGTATATATTATGTGCTAGGCACTGTCCTGGGTACTTTCAGGGTGTTAATTTGTATAATTCTCATGACCTCTTATGGCAGATACTCTTATCCTCATTGGTATATCAAATGAGGGACAAGAAGTAGATAACTTGCCCACGGAAGAACATTCAAGAAGAACACGTGGGAGTTCTGGGGTTTTTCAGCCTGGATAATTTGGCTCCAACTGACTCCTAACCACTAGTTCTGCCTTCTGAACAGAAAGCAGAATGGGATTCTTCCTTAATCCTTGTAATTGGTCATACATATTTGCTTTAATGCCTCAGAATTCAAATGTGCTTAACGTGTAATTTACAGGAATGCTGTCTGCAGTGCTCTTATCAGATGTAGTTGTTTAATGCTTCATAAAATTTCACAGTTTTAAATGCGGTTCGAGGAAGTGTAAGCATTGTTTTCTAGGACTGTGCCTCCTGTTTAACAGGGATTTACTGTGACCATTTGGATAGGAAGTTTTACAGAAGTCTCAGGCCTGAGGTGAAAGCAGGTTATTTTAAGGGTCTCTATGGTTCCGGGTTCTGTCACATCGAGAGCTTGCTAGTTTACAACAGCAGCTAGTCTCAGGTTGGTGAAATGAACCATGTATGAGGTGAAGGTCAGACCAAGAGTTTGAAAGCCTTTTCCATTCTGAGATTCCGGACTTTCCCTGTGGGTTAACATGGTGCTTTAAGTTATAGAAGAGTAATATTTTAGAAGATCACGTAGAACTTTAACTCTTCTTTTAGAAATATAAAACATTTTTATGGTTCTCTCTACTAAACTTAAAACATTTCACTGACCCATGAATAATTATGTACATATGTGCATTGCATCCATATTACTCCTAATTGTGTGTTTTCTTCCCTTCTTCCTTCCTTCCTTCCGTTTTTTTTCTCTGTGTTAAGGATTGGGGATGGAATCCAGGCCTTGCTCATGGTGGGCAAGTGCTCTACCATTGAGCTATATTCCTTGCCAATTGTGTGTTTTCTAAAAAAGAGATCAGTCAGCACAATTTTAGAGTTGGAAGAAAGCCTTATGGGATACTTATTCATTAGTGTACTATCAGTTTATGTATATGGAAGTTAAGAAATTGCTTAAGCCAAGGTCATCAGTAGCAAAGCTGGGCTTGAGACTTAGGTCTCCAGATACACACCAGAAGCATTTTTCTTATCATTTGATTTTAGCTGCTTCAAAATGTGATGATTATTCAGACTTAACACTGAATTCAAATGGTATGACCTAGTTGGTCTGGACATCTTTGGATATAAGCACAAAACAACTCAGGATGCTTAGGACTTCCCAGACTTTATAAAATAAAATTTAAAATAAAAATTTTAAGCATTTTTGAGTTAAAAGTTTTTTAGTTTTTTAAAGTATCATTTGAAGATTTGCTTTTGTTAAGAAAGTTTATTTCCACTTAAAAATAAAGTAACCTAGTCAAGTCATGCTATAACAAAGTAATTAAGGTCAGATGATTTTAGTTATTTCTTGGTTTTAAGTGCACATATTATCCTAGAAAGTCAATGTTTCCTAGAATAATGTCCATTGTTGATTATGGAAAAAACTTGATGTTTCCTGGTCTCAAACAATTTTACCTTTTTTTCCTTCTTTTTCAGACTTTTGATAAAATACTTATTGCTAATAGAGGAGAAATTGCATGTAGGGTGAGTAGAATTTGAATTCTCTTTTCCATTTTACTCAATGAAATTTATTATTGTTAAATCCCTTTAAATATGAATTACTATAAATTAGATAACATTCATGTATTTTAAATAGGTTATTAAAACTTGTAAGAAGATGGGCATTAAGACGGTTGCCATCCACAGTGATGTTGATGCTAGTTCTGTAAGTATATTTTAGTTTAAATCTGAACTTAATTTTGAGTTACATACAACAAAAATGAAAGCTATTCTATTTTTTCTTGGCCTCAAAAATGCATATTTTAAAACTTAATTGTTCACTGTTATATTAAGTAAAATGGAAGTGTCATAATGTCATCTCTGTGTGTCCTAATTCTTTGTTTTTAAAGCTTAAAAACCAAGAATAGACTAAAAAATTGCAAAGCTATTGCTGGTCAGCAAGTAGATTTAAGCAAAGCATGAGAAAGTTAGATGGAAGATTAATGAACTGTTTACACAATGCTCCCTTATGAAAGCACGTTTCCCCAGCATAACTCCAGTGTCACTAAGGGAATGCTGTGGTTGTTTAACCTTTCCTAAATGGCTGATGTGTTCAGCTGAAAGTTGATAAATGAGAGATAGGCTGATGCTAATTGGACATGAACAAAAGAAGGTATAGCATAAAGCAATGAATGATATATAATTTTATCTGGCATTTTTAACACAGCAGGCATTTTTTAGCTGTAATGAACTATGAATGAATAGAAAAAAAATCCCATGGGAAAAGAATGTAAATTATTGGAACTTTATGGAATGAAATATAAGTAGTTGTACTTTAATGTGAGTTGCTATTTTTCAAAAGTGTGCTTTTGATAACCAGACCTTTTGTTAATGTTAGCTTTTATAATATAGTAATTTAATACAGTTTTCAAGTTTTGTGATCTTTAAATTTTTGTTTTATCCAGAATTATGTTGTTGATTTTTGTCTTATTGTAATTCTTCTCCTTTTTAAGAAATAAAATGGAAATAACTACAAACTAATTTACCGAAAATAAATGCTAAGTATATAATTTATTTGGCACCTGCATTTAAAATATCTATCTTTTAATGAAAAGTAATGGAACATTTTGCATATGTATTGTTTGATATTCTTTTTTTTTAACATTTGATTGTGGCTTCTTTGCAAAAAATCGTTTAAACTATGATGGCTTTAATGGTAATTTACGTTCCTCAGATATTCATCAAATAATGAGAAAACTGTTACTTTTATTAATCTGTTTCTTGATTGGTAAATTAAGGTATTTATTAACAGCAAATTCCTATAGGGAAAAATTTTGTTAAAGTCAACATCAAGCTAGTAATAGATTTAAAATTCATATTTTTCCTCTTATGTTTATTATCAGTGTATTAGCTTATGGGATATTTTCATCTATGGATAAATTGAGAGAAAAAAATGTTTGAATTGTAGGCACTGTTTTATTTCAAGACTAACAGGGACCTTTTGTTTATTACTTTTCCATATTAAAATGTAGTTAATTCTCTATGCTATGTTCTCTTGGAAGTGACTATTATATGGATAGTTAAAAATCATTGACATTTTTTTTTTTCTTTCACACTTACATTTCAGTGTTGGTGCTGTAGAATAATCTGTAATCTGTAGTATCTTCTGCAAAGTGTTGTCCCAAATATCATTGCCAACTTTCCCATTCTTACATTTCTAGCTTTAGACAAATTCTTACATTCTGATTTAGACAAATTATTTTTCAGATTCTGTAAAAGCTAGTTTCAAAAGAGTTACTGTAAGTTTTTTATCTTTCTTATGCATGCCTTTCCCAAAGCAGATGTGGGAATTTTCTATTTTAAAGAAATTTGAGGCTGAAACTAATAGTAGATCAAGAATTATAATATATGATTTAGAATATGATTTCCCAGGCTCCATAGTAGAAGTACTGCATTCTCTGTCAAAACTCAACAGTATGGTCAAATCAGAGAAAGGCATTTGGTTTCTGCTTCAGTGGCAAGAAGGCAGAAAAGGTGAATTTCTTTAATAATATTTTTCCTTCTTCAACACTTGATCACGGAGGTTTCTATCATATCTAATCAGCTTTACAAGATCAGTAATATGAACAAGCCATGCTGTTCAAATGTTATCGTTAGGATGTTTGTCATTAAGAAGTGGGAATTTATGGAACCAACCTAGATGCCCTTCAATAGACGAATGGATAAAAAAAATGTGGCATTTATACACAATGGAGTATTACTCTGCATTAAAAAATGACAAAATCATAGAATTTGCAGGGAAATGGATGGCATTAGAGCAGATTATGCTAAGTGAAGCTAGCCAATCCCTAAAAAACAAATGCCAAATGTCTTCTTTGATATAAGGAGAGTAACTAAGAACAGAGTAGGGACGAAGAGCAGGAGAAGAAGATTAACATTAAACAGGGATGAGAGGTGGGAGGGAAAGGGAGAGAGAAGGGAAATTGCATGGAAATGGAAGGAGACCCTCAGGGTTATACAAAAGTACATACAAGAGGAAGTGAGGGGAAAGGGAAAAATAATACAAGAGGGAGAAATGAATGACAGTAGAGAGGGTAGAGAGAGAAGAGGGGAGGGGAGGGGAGGGGAGGGGGGATAGTAGAGGATAGGAAAGGCAGCAGAACACAACAGACACTAGTATGGCAATATGTAAATCAATGGATGTGTAACTGATGTGATTCTGCAATCTGTATATGGGGTAAAAATGGGAGTTCATAACCCACTTGAATCAAAGTGTGAAATATGATATATCAAGAACTATGTAATGTTTTGAACAACCAACAATAAAAAAAAATAAATGTAACTTGGAGTTAAAAAGTTACATACTTTATATGTTGACTTCATAAATTGAAATGTAATTATTTATTGTAGTAGGGAAATATTACAAAACTTGACTGTGAAAGTTATTAATTTTTTGTTAAAGCAACTAATTTTTAGTTAACCAGGGAAAAATGTTAAGCTACTACTCAAGTAATACATCATACAAACAGGTAAAGCCAGTTGCAGAAATTGATGTTAATGGAAAAGTCTTCTTGAAAATGATTGTGTAGTTCTTCTGTCAGACCCTCCCTTCAGTGGATTCTTCAAAATTGTCTTTAGGATTCTTGGCTCTTTGTTCTTCCATATGATTTTAGAATGAGCTCCCAGAGTTATCCCATCCCAACTGAATTTTTAGTGTCTTTTTTTAAATTTATTTTTTAAATTTTAATTTGTTATACATGACAGCAGAATGCATTACAATTCATATTACATACATAGAGCACAATTTTTCATATCTAGTTGTATACAAAGTAAAGTCACAGCATTTGTGTCTTTATACATGTACTTTGGGTAGTGATATCCATCTCATTCCACCGTCTTTCCTACTCCCATGCCCCATTCCTTCTCCTCCCCTCCCCTCCGCCCTATCTGGAGTTCATGTAATCCTCCCTTGCCCCCCTCCCCAACCCCATTATGAATCTGTATCCTTAAATCAGAGAAAAATATTTGGAATTCCGAATTTTTAGTTTCTATGAACAGAATTTCTATAAATGTACATATCTTTTTGTGAAAATAGACTTTTATTTTTCTTGGTTAAATACTAGGAGAGGGGGTTGGGACTTGTAACTCAGTGGTAGAGCACTTGCCTAGCATCTATGAGGCCCTGGGTTTGAGTCCCAGCCCTGCAAACAAAAACAAAACTAAAACACCTAGGAAGGAATTTCTGGGTCATTCAGTAGATGAGGGGTTGGCAGCTTTTTTTTTTTTTTTTCTTTCTTTTGTTTGGATGGTAAATATATTTGTTTGGAGAATAAATATATTTTAGACTTTGAGGGTGTCCATTGCTGCTGCTGCTGCTGCTGCTGCTGCTGCTTCTCCTCCTCCTTCTCCCCTGACCCTCCATTTTTTTGTGATATCTTTGGTATCAGAATGATCCTGGCCTCGTGAGTTGGAAAGTTTTCTCATCTATTTTTTTGGCAAGAGTTTGTGAAGAATTGGTATTAATTCCTCTTTAAATGTTTACCAGTGAAGCCATCTAGGATGTATATTTCCAAGATGTAGTTTTTTCTTAAATACTAATTCTTTTGTTATAGATTTATTCATATTTTCTTTAGAGAGTAATTGTAGTTTGGTTCTTTCTAGGAATTCATCATTTCCATCTAATTTATCTAGTTTATTGGTATAAAGTTGTTTATAGTATTTCCTTATTATTTTTATTTCTATAAAGTTGTAGTATTGTCTCCCTTTTCATTCCTGGTTTTAGACATGTGAGTCTTCTTCCTTTTTTTTTTTCCCCTTGGTCATTATCTTTGTCTGTTCAGGTTGTTATAACAGAACATCACAGACTGGGTGGCCTATACCCAGTAGAAATTTATTTCTTACAGTTCTGGAGGCTGGGAAGTCAAGATCAGGCAACAGCAGATTTGGTTTCCAGTGAGGGCCCCCTTCCTGGAACACAGATGAAGCTATCTAGCTGTATTTTCCCATGGTGGAAGGGCCAAGATCTTTCTGGCATCTTCTGTGAGATCATCAATCTCACTCATGAGTTCTCCACTACTATTTAACAGTATTCTTAGACGTAATAGCACTTAGTCAAGAGCTATAAAATGGTGGACAGCAGGGCAAAATTAAGAAGGTATTACTGAGTTCCGACTTGTACAGTTAACTGAATGACTCACTAGAAACAGAAAAATCTTATGGGAACTGGTTAAAGAATAATAAAGAAGCTGGACGAAGCTGGACATGGTGGTGCATGATGTGGTGGTGCATGAATAGCTGAATCACAGCTATTCAGGTGGCTGAGGCAAGAGGATCGCAAGTTTGCAGCCAGCCATCAGTATGGACAATTTAGCAAGAATCTGTCTCAAAATTAAGTAAAGGAAGGGCTGGGGATGTGGCTCAGTGGCAGAGCACTGGCTTAGCATGCACGAAGCCCTGGATTTAATCCCCAAAAGAAGGAAGAAAGAAATCTCTATCTTTACCTCATATATGAAAAAAATGTATATAATTTAAAACTAAAAAAATATCTAAATGAGATAAGAAATAGAACTTTAAAAAATAAAACTGGCTGGCCATAGTGTCATATGCCTGTAATCCCAATGATTTGAAAGGCAGATGCAGGAGGATTGTGAGTTCAAAGCTAGCCTCAACAACTCAGCAAGGCCCACAGCAACTTAGTGAAACCCTGTCTCAAAAAATGAAAATAAATAAATAAAGGGCTTGGGATATGGCTCAGTTAAGTGCCTCTAGTTCAATCCCTGATACTAGTATGGAAACAATGCATACTTAAGACACAATTTTTAGAACATACATGAAGACTTCTACTTTTATATAGGAAGACCATGTATTTTAAATGCTAGTTATTACTGAATTAATCTATACATTTAAAAAAATATTTATTTTTTAGTTATAGGTGGACACAATATCTTTTTTTTTTTTGGGGGGGGGGTTGTTGAAGTCTGTTTATTTGTGTTAATGTAAAGCCTAGCAGCAATTAGAGTATAACCAAGAAAAATAGTTCAGACACTGTGATTTGTCTGGAGAAGGCAGCACTGGTGTTATTATTTTAACTTAAAAATCCAGCAGTATTTCAAATGTTCTTTTATAAGCAAAGATGCCATTCTACCTCCTTAAAGTACTATAACTGATTCTTTCCCATAAAAGTAATTTACATAGTTTTAGCAGTTTTTGCATGAAATTATACTGTGTGATGAGCAGATAAACTTACTGATGGTCACATTATCTTTGTTTTGTTTTTATGTGGTGCTGAGGATCGAACCTGGTGCCTCACGCATGGTAGGCAAGCACTCTGGCTTTGAGCCACACCCCCAGCCCCCACATTATTTATTTATTTATTTAAAAAATATTTTTAGTTGTTGATGGACACAATACCTTTATTTTATTTTTTATTTTTATGTGGTGCTGAGAATCAAACCCAGTGCCTCACACATGCTAGGCAAGTGCTTTGTCACTGAGCTACAACCCCAGCCCCTGTACATTTTCTTAAGTCTGAATAAATACAACAAAAGTTTTCTTTGGAAATTGACAGAAGATTAAATATGCAAGAATGTATTTTCCCCTTAGTTTATTCTGAGAAAAATTGGCAAGGAGAATAGCATAACATATTAAAATATATTATAAAGTGGGAACATTCATAAAATGTTGGAGTGAGGAGACACACAATGTGTCAAAATGCATTCTACTATCTTGTATAACTAATTGGAACAAATTAAAAATACAAAAAAAAAAAAAAAGAAAAGAGGGAGACACCGATCTATGGAATAAATTTATTGAATTTTAGGCAGAGAGCTAATGTGGGAGATTTCTTGATTGCTAAAGGGCTGTATCAGAAGGCAGAGGAGTGGCATCCTAGGGCTGCTTGCCTATGATTTTGGGTAGTTCCAGAGAAGAAAAGAAACATAAGGAATGAGAGCTGTTTAATGACTAGAAGTTTCTTGTGCAGGTAGGTACTACAACATTAATTTGATGAGTAGTGAGAGCAAAGAATTTGAGAATTTAGATTTATTAAACTTGTACTCTTCAAAGTGCACCTAGATAACATTCATATTTTAAGTAAAAAGACCAGAACATTTCTCCATTAAAAAGTAGCAAAATATTACATATACAAACTGTTAGAATTAGGGTTTCAATTTTTTTTTTAATTTAAAATGACATTTCATTAGGTTAAGTGAAAAGTGTCCAGAGTATTTCAAATGAGAAAAATGATTCTGTACTTTAACCTTTGACCATGTTTTCTGTCTGTACTCCTAAATTGAACTTATCAATATTTGGTCGCTTTGTGTATAATCATGTTGAATTTAAATGTGAAATATCTGATATTTACCATGTTGAAACAAGAACCTAAAATCAGAGAAGTATTCACTGTGACTCACTTCTTATGCGGGCAGCCTGCTGTTTAAAGTGTGATTCCTGGTGTGTTCTGGAGTCTCAGCCTTAGGATTCCATAATGAGATTGAGTGGGGTTTCCTGTGAGCACTCTGGGATGATTGACAGTAAGGTGAGGGCAATCATCACTTTTCATGCCTACCCTTGATAATATTTCCCTGCTGTCTGGGGAGGGACTGAGAACAAATAGGACTTCGTGATGTCTAAGTAATTAGTGTATGTTGGTTCCAGCTGAACAAACTGGAGGGTAATGATCAGGTAAATGGAAATGGAATACATTAATGTAGGCTAAGGTATAAGAGACCTTAGGGGAAAACTTATCAAAATTTTATGGGATTGTTGGGATATCTTTATTTTATATCTTTTGATATATATATATATCTTTATATATACATATCTATCTATCTATCTGTCTTTATTAGCATATCTTTGCATTTATTATAGATGCACACAGAGATTAAATCAATTTAAATGTAAAAACCTCAAACATTTATTTATTTTTTCTTTGGTTTCAGGACATTTTTCAACCTTTTAAAATTTCACAAATTTGTTAGTGGACATTATTTGTAGCTGATGCTGTCACTGATCCTCAGTTATGAGTAAATGACTAGGGTCAAGCTTGTAAAACTTTTGGGGGTTGTTAACTGAAAATATCTAGTGACCTTTTGTGTGTGTGTGTGTGTGTGTGTGTGTGTGTGTGTGTGTGGTGTATTTAGTGATATTCTTAAATTGCTTGTACTAGTTAAAGGAGATGTTAAGATGGCCATCATGATCCATACTTCCTAGTTAGTCTTAATTAGGTCAGAAATATTTCCAGATGTTTAGTTTGCAATATAAAATTTATAGGCTCTTAATTATTGCAAAATATTTATAAATTGTCATCCTTCAATATTACATTTTCTTATCAGTAACATGAAGTCCCGTGGCAAAACCTCTGCATGGTGACTATAGTATAGCATTTAACAGGAAGGAAGGAAGGAATTGGTTTCATTGATGTGGTTTCGGATTTTAGAGTTCTGATAATTAGGTAATCAAATGGTTATAAAATGGCGTTCTTGCTTTAAAACTTAACTATTGCTCGCTGTTCTCATAAGACTTGGCCTTCAATAACCTTTTTAGATTAAGAACACAGTGAATCTATGCAAATTTGAAACACTGGGCTTCTCAGAGAAGCACTAAGTGTAATCAGGAGAGGAAAGCATTTAAGATGTTTAGACATTTTCTTTTCTTTTTTGCAAGTATTGTTTTTGGAAAAACTTATTTTGCAGAAACACTGTGCCCTATCAATTTTAAATGTTTTGATTATCTTTAGCTTGGCTAAATTACTTTCTCTGCATTTTGGGTAAAATGGAATAGGATAAGATTCCTGGTAGGAATTTGTTCACATTAATATGGCTCATCAGGGACATTATATTTAATTGGAGATCCTGCAGAATAGTAGCAGGAGGCTGAAGAGAATTATTTAGCATTAGCAATGGCTCGTCTGGGAGTTGTGCACTAATCAAGGCGCTGGAGTGTTAGCGGTGGGGATGATGGGAATTATGACGATTATGACATGTAAGCATGTCTGCGTGCAAACTGGACAGGCAATGAGTTAATCAAGAAGTATATTAAATGGCTCCCATGCTGATTCATTATTATCTACCATAGTGCTTGTCAGGTTGTGTATTTAAAAAATACAATTATTGTTGAGTTCAATGTGTATGTGAGCTGAATTCAGCCATCATTCTTTGCTTTTCAATAAAGCAATCTTAAATTGCCTTATACATATAAAAGTAGAAAATTGTGTCAGTTGTGGTTTGTGTTTTAAAGTGTAGTATCTTTTTTATCACTTTAGAGTCAACCTCTAATTTTGGACTCATTTAAAAATTTGTTTGCTTTGTCCTTTTTTGCATTCATTGTAAATACTCTTTGCTTATTTCTTACTGCATAAAGGATTTGGATTCAGAAATAAAATATATGTACCTTTATTTTTCAAGTTGAAAATAATTCTAGTATTTCAGAGAGAAATTAATGTTTAACACATGAAGCTATGGAAAAATCAAAGCTTCAATGTTTCCACCATCAAAATGCTCCAAAATCGGGAGTGGGGGGTGGAAATCTCCTTTGCTGTAGTGGGTGGTCTCTTTGTGCCAGGTAGACCCATTCTGTGCCCAGCATGGTTAGAGCCATCTGTCATGAAACTATCAGTTAGAAATGCTAGAAACGTACATATTTTGGGGAAATGGAACTAATAAATTGAATTCCTTTTAGAAAATAAATTGAAATGCAGCATAAATTCATGAGCAAACTAGATTATATCTGTAGACAAATTTATAGAGTTGCTATACAGATGAACAATTTTTTTTTATTACTGTAGGCGCTGCCAAATTTAATAAAACTTTCTACCAAACGGACCTTCATGTATTAACTTAATTAAAGCAATATTATGGATAATGCTCAAAGTGTTAACCTGTGGGTGGTTGTTATTGAAATCCATTATCTGTGGAGTCAGTATTAGTGGTCAGCAACATCAGAAGTAAAACTTGCAACCAAGAGCGTCCCTTGGGAGCTGTGAGCCCAGCAGGTTAAATCGTCAAAACCCAGCAAAGCTTCTTAAAAGACTGATAGTTTAAGCCCCCTGGAGTGAAAGGTAAACCAGTCATTCCAGTCAGGAAAGGACCATGACTTTATTTAGCAGTCAAGCAAAAATTACATTTGGACAGGAAAAAGGGATTTATATCAGTATCTTCATGTATGAGTTATTTTATTCGTATATATGTTCATGTACTTTAGCTTTAATAAAAACATTCCAACTTCTTGTTTTGGTGCTGGGAGTTGAATCAGGGCCTCTTGCGTGCTAGGCTAGCACTCCACCAATGAGCTACATAGACCCTCATACCCAACTTTTTAATATGCTGAGAGTGACTTGTGAAAAATTTGCTTTATAAAATGAAAAGATGTGTCCCAAGGCCTTCCACGTTTTTTGTTAATAATAAGAACTTTATCCTTTTTCTTACACTAAAATTCAGTTTAGAAAAAATTTGACTTAAAAAAACTGTACATATTAATGGGGTACCGTGTAATATCTTCATAGATCTATACATTGCTTACAGTTTGAATTAGGTTAAAAATATGTATTTCCTCAAACGTTTATCATTTCAAAGTATGGAAAGCTTTACAGACTTGCGTGTCGTCCTTGCACAGGGGCCATGCTGGTCTCTGTATTATTCCAACCTAATTTTTCTGTGCTGCTGGTGATCAAATCCAGGGCCTTGTGCACGCTAGACAAGCACTGTACCATTGAGCTGCACTCCACCCCTGTATGGTTCCAGTTTTAGTACATATACTAAAATTTTAAGACTAAAACTGAAACTTTATGAATACATCTTTTTGGTTTTGTTTATTTAAAAAATTCTGGTGAATTTAAATGAAAGTTTTAAAGGGAACTTATGTATTTTAGTGTTTTTAGTACCTGGTGGTATGGAAAAGTACCCAATTATACATATATTCTTCTGTAAAAATCTAAAGAATGATTGGAGATACTATCTTACTGAAAAAGCATATATTTAATGACTATTTGAAAATACAGCTTGACTTTATTCCATTGTTTCAGTGTTTACAAGGCCATAAATCAACCTGTATATATTACAGCCTCTTTAAGACCTCTTAATGGAAGAAGTCATGATCATTCTAAATAGTACCATATTTATCCCTTATTGAGTATCTGTGGCATAGTAGAAACACATAATTATATAAGGGGATTAGTATTGTCACTATTTTAAATTGAGAAAATTGGAGCTTCCAGATATAAAAAAGAGTGCCAATAATCTTTTATCTAGTAAATGGTGGAGCTACTTCATGTAGCTAGAGTTGTATTCCTTCTGTTGTAGCACATTGTTTTCCCTACTAAGTATAAGGAAAAATGCCCATTCTCCTTAAAAGGGTGTTTGAAACTGGATTTTATTAGTGGCTGGGTATTAGGTTAGGCACTGGAGGTAGAGAATATGATTTCTGCTCTTATGGCACTCAGCATGCAGTGGTAGAGACAGATATAGAATAGGAAAAGATGTGAAAGTTATAGATTGTGGTGTTATGAGGGAAACAAGTTGTTGATGGAGAATCATGGGGGCCTCCTTATTAATAAAGTGGTCAAGTAAATCCTCTCTGAGGGATAAAATATGACCTGAGACCAATGGGTGGGGGTCGGTCCATCCTCAGCTAGACAGGCAGAATAGCATGCACAGAGGTCCTGAGCCACCACTCTACTAAAGGAGTTTTATTAAGATTACCAGTAACTGTCTCAGGCTAAATCCAATGGGTTTTTTCAGTCTTCTCCTATGTGACTTCTCAACAGTGTCTGACACTGTCAGTTACCCTTCTGCCAACATTCTCTTGTCTTGGCTTTAGTGACATCTTAATCTCCTGGTTACCTTTCTGCTTCTGTGATTCTCTGTGTTGTCTGTGTAGAAATGACTCTGGCATCATTGGGAGGCTGGCATACTCTCTCTTTCCCTTGTTCTGGAAACATTTTATTCTTCCCATTTTTCTGTGGTTTTGATCAGCTGTAGACTCCTAATTTTCTTTCTTGCTTTTTAAAAATATTTTTATAATAAGTTCTTTTTAAGTATACATGACAGTAAAGTGTATTTTGACATATTATGCATACATGGAGTATAACTTATTCTAATTAGGGTCCCCTTCTTGCATTTGTGCATGATGTGGAGTTTTACTGGTTGTTCACATATGAACATAGGAAAGTCATATCCAATTAGTTCTATTGTCTTTCCTAATCCCATCCTTCCTCCCTTCCCTTCATTCCCCTTTGTCTAATCCAATAAACTTCTATTCTCCCCTTCCCCTCTCTTACGTTTTAGCATCGTCATATCAGAGAGAACATTTGGCTTTTGGTTTTTTGGGTTTCTGGGACTGGCTTATTTCACTTAGCATGATACACTCCTAATTCTGTCCACACCCTGCCAACATCTCTACTTGGATACATCAAAACTACCTCAAACTTAACATGACCCAAACTTAACCTTTCATGTAGGTTTCATGTAGCTAAGTCCTCTTGCAGAAGCAAAAAATAAAGGAATTTGTCTTCACCACTACTTTATCTTTGACTTTTCAAATTCTAATCCATGAATAAATCCTTATTCAAAATAATTTGTAATCTAGTCTTGTTCCTTCCTTAATGAGGTCTTTTTTAGCCTATTTTACTAGTGAATCTTTTCTATTTGATCCTAATAAAATTTCTTCAAGGATGGAAGGTATGGCAGCTGAATAAGGGCCTCCTGGAAATGTCTAATTCCTCATCTCTGAGGCCTGTGAATATTACCTATTACCCCCGAAGCGACTTTGCAGGAGTGGGCAAGTTAGGGATCTTTATATGGAGAAATTATTTTGAATTTTCTGACAGCCCAATGTAATCACAGGGTCCTTATTAGAAGGAGGTAGATTAGGGTAGAGTAGGAAGGGTGAAGACAGCAAGAAGTTGGAGGGATGTGAGGAGGCAGCTGAAAGAGAGGGGAAGATGGATTCTCCCCTTACAGCCTCCAGAAGGAACCAGCCTGCCGACATCTTGATGTTAGTGCCATAAGACTCTTCTCTGACTTCTGTCTAGAATTATAAAATAATAAGTTTGTGTTATTTCAAGTCACCAACTGTGTGATAATTTGTTGTAGCATCAGTAGGAAATGATCATAGAAGCACTGGTTAGATTTCAGAAATTCTATCAACGTTTTAACCATATATCCATAGACCTAGAAAAATCTCAATATACACTTTTGTTCTTGAAGAAAACCTAATTTATTGTGAATTCTTTGTCAGACTGATAATTTCATCTGTAATGTTTTGTCTGGCGTGAACTATTTTTTCACCAGTGAAATTTTTGGTGGCTTTCTTAGCATTAGATTTCTTAATGTGTTTTGGAATTTTGGTGTGTAGTCTCTTTTTAGATGAAAGTTTGAAAATGTTCATTCCTCTACCTGTTCCTCCCTCTCCTTCATCCTTCCCTCACCCCTTGCTTCCTGTCTTTCCCCTTCCTCTGTCTTTCCTGGTTTTTCTCTCACCCCTACCATCCCCAACCAAAACAAAACAAAAACCCACCATTTCTCCCTGACCAGCAGCTTTGTGGTTGCCTCACAGGTGTTTAAGTTTAGGATGCCTAGTCCATCTAGGCCTTATAACCATGATGTGGGCACATGGCAGGTCAGTCACAGAAGCAGGTTCAGATTTCCACCCTGAAGCTGTAGCAGCTCAGATGGTATTTAGTGGCTTTCTCTTTAGGACTAGGGAAGCTCCTCCTTAGCCTGATTTTAGCTGGTGACTCTGGCTGTCTTCCAGCTTCTGTACAACATTCTTAATGGTCTGATTTTTGCATCTGGCACTTCCTGCTTCTGAAAGAACCAGTAAAGTTTGCCTTGTTCCTTGTTAGGCATTTTTCTTCTGTTTTGAGTTCATGAAATGTTTACTACCTATTTCTGGTTTCTTTTTCTCATGGTTTTCTTATGTAGATTTAATTGTGATTGCTGGACATTTTTAGCAGAAGGAAGTTTTGAAGCATGAACTCACTATGCCAGCCTTTTTTCAAAAAATATTTATTTTTTAGTTGTAGTTGGACACAATATGTTTAATTAATTAATTAATTAATATGTGGTGCTGAGGATCAAACCCAGGACCTCGCCTGTGCTAGGTGAGTGCTCTACCGCTGAGCCATAACCCCAGCCCCTATGCCACGCCAGCCTTTTTTGTGCTAAATTTGACTTACATTTACAAAGACCACAGAAAAATGCCAGTCTCAAAATTGTGTTTTTGCTCAATTTCAAGCACTAGCATCTAAGTTCTGCATTTGATGTCTGACTCGTTGGTTATGCAATTAGCTACAGCATGCTAGTGTGTCTGGGCGTTGTCTTGCCAGTTCTGGGTTTCTGGCCATAGCAGTCATTTGCCTAATCTGGGGTAGATCCCTTGGCTGTGTGTTCTTGCTACTGGAAGTGGCCAAAGTGGCAGCCACCAGGTTGGAGTAGCCAAAAAGGGAGAATTTCATTAGGCATCTTTAGGGAGATTAAAGGCTGTCTGAGGATGACCAAGGCAGACTTGTGTCTGATTTGTGCATGTGAATTCGAACCTGGAGTTAGAACAAGAGAGCCTCTAACTCAGGTGAACAAATCAGATGACAATCCACTGTGGACATCTCCAGTCATTTATTTATTCAATAATGCACTGGGTATAGGTGTGGTGTATCCAGTGGAAAGTTTGCATGCTTTCTGAGGGCAGGAACTTGTCTGTGTGCATGGGAAAGCGTTAAGTTCAGGTAAAACTGCTTATGAATAGTATTCGAAGATGTCTTGTTTTGTAAACATCTGAGTGTTTAGTTGTTTCCAAGTCTTCCTGTGAATCAATCATAAATTAATCCCCAAATCTACACTGTGCTTCCCAAATGGATATTACACATTTTAGTAAAGGGCCCTATATAATTAAATCTTGTAAAGTATCTTCAGTGAACTATTCTAATTAAGTGTTATAGATCCTGAGGTTGCTCCATTACAGCTCAGCTGGGATGCTCTCAGATGCAATATGGGAGTTCAGTTTCAAAGTTCAGTACACAAAGCTATTTGTGAAGGTTTTATATACAGATGTTTCAATTTGTAAATTTTGACTTTATAGTGCAGCGAAAATGATACATGTTCAGTAGAACTGTACTTGGAATTTTGGGTTGTTTCCCAGGCTAGCAAAGTGCAACTTGGTCTCTTGAGGTGTCAGTCAGTGGCAGGAGCAAAGCTCCCAGACAGCCACTTGAGGGTCTGGAAACAGACGACACTCTGTGTATACCTTGTTGATAAGCTAGGGTGGTCTGTAGGTTAGGTATTGCTAGAGTTTAGATCTTAAATGTGCCCCAAAGGCCCATGTGTGAAAAACTTAGTCCTCAGCTTGGGACTATTGGGAGGTGGTGGACACTTGAAGAGGCGGGGTTGTCATGTGATGTGTTCTTGTCATTGGGAATATGCTCTCAAAGGAAAGAGTGACCCTAGCCCCTTTTCTTCTTTTTTCTCTTTAATCCTGGCCATGAATTGAACAGTTTGCTGCACTACATGCTCTCTGACATGAGTTACTGTGCCACCATGGGCTCAAAGCCATGGAGCCAATCTGGTCATAGACTGAAACCTCCAAAACTGTGAGGCCAAACAAACCTTTTCTTCTTATAAAGTGACTATTTTAGGTACTTGTTACACCAGTGGAAAATCCACTAGCACAAATGTATT